GAACCTGATGATGTGGCCAGCAGCTACGCCTCCTGGTGGCCATTCTGTGACAAGGCTGGTCCTGGGACATGAAAACCTCACCACCCTTACAGCTACAGACAGAAGCCGGGACCCAGAACAGGGAACACACCTGCCCAGATGCAGCCATTAGGGAAGAGGCAGAGCCCTCAAAGGCGGCAGCCCTCCCACCCCTAGTGCAATGTTTGGCTGGGGATTACTGCGAAAGTCTATTTGAACCCCTTGCACCTGTCTTGATTTCACTGGACAGGAGGACCTTCTCTCAGCGACTCCCATATGTCAGGCCTACACCATCCCATCTAGGAGAAAAGAGCCACAACTCAGAATTTTTCACACAAGTGCAAACACATGTTAAATTTATTCTCTTCTCACTTCTGAAGCCACGTCATTTAATTTTTATATACATAGAATATAAATGGCTATACAATGTTCTTTACATACATTTATACATGTTAAGTTTTACTATCTTGTGAAAGTTTGTTAAAACATACCCAGAATTTACTTAAAAGAGATCTTTGTTGTTACATGAAAACATTAAGAGGTTTGTGTAATATAGACAGCAAGTATTCAAAATGAATATATGGAATAAATGTTTTTACCCTAAGTAAGCCTTGATATTTTATACTTTTAATTGAAAAGTCATTGAACAAAATAGAATCCTAAGGATCAATCATGGGAATATCATACAAATGTAAGGGTTAAAGAAGGTCATATGTACCAGACACAGGTTGAAGGAACAGAATGGGTTTGTTAGTTTTATCCCAAATAAAAGGCGCTTGTGGGCAAAAGCTCTGCCATCGGTACACATGGGCAGATGTTTCCATATCCAGCCATTCCCAGATTTTACTGACAAGCCCCTTTTCCACAGGTTCCCTGCTGACAAGGTTTCCCCAGCAACAGAAGTTTGACATCATTGCTCCCAGAATGGAAGAATCAGAGTGCTCCAGATTTGGGTCCAGGATGGACCTTTAGGTTTGATCCAACCAGTACAACCAGCCTCTTTGGATCCTGGAGTAGACCAAACACCAATGGTACCACAGGCTCTGTGCCCAGGAAGTAGGAGCCAGGTCCAGAAGGAAGAAAAGAGGCCACTACCTTTCTAGAATGAGGCTGTTTACACTGCAGTATCATAAAACACCTTTTTGTAAAGGCCAGAAAACATGGCTGTGCTGCCTGAAGAATGCAGAAGAACCTGCATGTACCAGGTGAACTCAAAGGCTTTCTCCTGAACACAACAATGGATTTACCTGGTGTTCTCCTCCACTACCACTTTTTTTTTTTTTGGTAGAGACAAAGTCTCACCCTATTGCCCTTGGTAGAGTGCCGTGGCATCACACAGCTCACAGCAACCTCCAACTCCTGGGCCTAGGTGATTCTCCTGCCTCAGCCTCCCAAGTAGCTGGGACCACAGGTGCCTGCCACAATGCCCAGCTATTTTTTTTTTTTCAGTTTGGCTAGAGCTGGGTTTGAACCCACCACCCTTGGTATATGGGGCCAGCGCCCCATCAGCTGAGCCACAGGCGCCGCCCCTCCACTACCACTTTTGATCCTTATAACAGCATGCTAGAGAAGCAGATCAATGTTATCACCATTTCCCAAATGAGGACACTGAAGCCAGATGGACAGTGACTTGTCCACTGTTACCCAGGACTGAGTAGAAGGGCCAAACCAATCTCCAGGTCAGCTGGCCACCTATCCCTGTCTCATCTCTCAAGGGCACATCTACTTTCTCTTCTTCCACCACTAACTCACAGCATACAGTGGTGGTTCCCCAGACCTGTGCAGGATTCCTGCAGGAACATTTGGAAGGTGAGCAACATCTGAACACGAGAGATTTGCCAAGCAAATCTAACAGCCATAAGCACTCCAAACCTGCCTATCCTCACTTGTGCTACACTGTGCAAGCAGGCAGCAAGTTCTCTGAGGACCACTGTCCTGCATGTTACAAGTGGTCAACTCCATCAAGGAGCAGCCAATGGCAGCCCTGGATGAACCTGCAGCACGCAGCCCCTGCATGCTAAGGACAGCTGCTGTTATCTAGCAGAGAGAGCCCCCACCTTTGCTCCCTACCTGTCCTCTGCTTCCCACACCCCAAACAGCTGGCCTTGTTACTGTTGTCTTTGACTTTGAATAGTGCTCACCACCAAAGTGCTCCTCCTCTCTGAGACCTAATTCCAGGGCAGGGTTGGGCCTCAGTGCAATCTGTCCCACTCTGAAGCTCCTGGACCCACTCTAATGAAAACTAAAGGTAGCTTCTCCATTCCTCCAGAGACACCAGTTTCAGCCTCTGTCCCCAGGGCTGGAATGTGTAGGGTGGAGGTGGAAAGAGGTAGGAGAGTTGTAGAACGGGAGCACCTAAGAAAGAGAGAGGAGCTCAAGATGAGGTTTGACCAAAATGACTAAATGTTCTAATGTCAGCACTCCTCCTGATACTCTTTTGAGCACCCCTCAAAGGACTTTAAAATGTTGGACTTTGGTTCACAATGCATTTCAAAGAGTTCACAGAAAGCAGGGATAAAAAACTGGGAGCCTATCGTAACATTTCTTCTGCTGTGGGCAGCGGAGCATCTGGCACTGACAGAGAATGTGCCCCCAGGTGTCCTCACCCAGAAAAGGAAGGCCAGGTGTAGTCCTCGTCACAATAAGGCTAACCTAGGGAAAAGAGTGCCAGAATTTCCATGGTCCTTCAGCGGAATACTTAGGGAAGGGGAAACATTTTGGGCTTTGGTTCCTTGGCTGGGAAACCCCACCTAAGTGAAATGAGCTGCATTCCCCCCACCCCCGTATAGCAGATGGGACCTAACATACTCTGATGCCCAACATCTTGCAGCATTTGATAAGCAGCAAGTACCCTACCTTTAAAGTTCTGTTTTCAATATTGTTTCATCTATTTCCAGATCTAGCATTGTGAGGTCAGTTTGGCACAAAGCATTTAACCACTGAGAAAACAAAGGTGCTAGAACAACAGTGGCTATATGGTAAAGATGACTCTTGGGATTTGGAACCAGTTTTCTGACATCAAGGATCACAAAACAAGCTATAAACCTCCAACCCTGAACCAAACTAATCCCGAGTCTGGGATTTCCCATGAATGAAATCACCAGAATTTCTTTTTTCTTTTTTTTTTGCAGTTTTGGCCAGGGCTAGGCTTGAACCCACCACCCCCAGTATATGGGGCCGGCGTCCTACTCCTTGAGCCACAGGCACTGCCCCAGAACTTCTTTCCTATCATCAATCTTTTCCTCTAGTAAACTGAGGCTTCCTTTAGTAGATTTTCAGTTAAACACTGTTTTTGTAGTCATTATCTGCTCCACTCTTCTAGTGCACCTTTTTTATTTGTGTGCAAAAGTCAATTTCAAACCCCATGTAGATGTTAACTCATTAAGACCACATTTAACCAAACGTGAATAATATCTCCATTAGGGCCTCAGTAGGCAAGAAACATTCACCACAAAGAACTCATCTTCAAGGACTGTTTCTTTACTTCTTTCTGAGTGTGGATCATGGGCTTAGACCTCCAGAATCTGGAGAACAGGACATCAATAAAACACAGGCTTAAAAAGAAAACAATACATTTTTAAGCTGTTCTTATCAACTTATAGAGCTTTTTATGTCTCTAATTTAAAAGGATTTTTCTCCCCTCCTTGGCTTCCCATTCTATTCTACCATCTCTCCAAAACTGTATTCTAGAAAGACTAAAAATTCACCTGCCAGGTGTGCAAAAAATTATGCAACTGAGAAATCAATGGAAAGACAACTTTGGAGTTTATATCTGAGGATACCGCCATTTTCATCTCCAGATATTTAGTTAAAAATAGAAAATTCTATTATAAAAAAATAGAAAGTTACTATAGCAACTATCTTCCCAACATAGTTTCCAGTCATATAAACTTGTTTTTCTTAAAATGACACCAAGGTAGCTCGATAATAATACAATACCTGTGGTAACCAAATAAAAACTAAATATTCTAAAACTATATTCATGCTTTCCCCACCTACTCAATAACTTTTGCAATCGTTTTCCACTTTAATTTACCAAGACCACATAACTCAACCCAAAGTACTCCATGCAACTGTGTTTGCACTAATCAGATTCCAGACTTCTACCAAAAACAATCCAAAGGGCAAACTCCCAAAATGGCCTCCTGAGAGGTACCAGACAACCAGGCTGAAAATTTTGGAGGCCTAAGGGATCTTATTCAGAACCATATTTTGGAAAACTATGATCAATTTTTTGACAATGAAAGAAAGTAACTTTCCAGAGCACATGTTAATTATGTCTTTATAAAGCTTTAAAAAGTTAACATCTACTTAACTCTTATTCATAAAATTAGTCCCTAACGCTAATTACAATTATTAGAAAAGATGTACAGGAGTAATTAAATAGGGAGGCCCTCTGGGAACAGGTACATGGGACAAAGTACTCATCATCCTTATAACGAAATTCAACCATGTTGAAAAGGCTGCTAATACCTCTCCCAAGCAAGTCTGTGATAAGCCACTGAATCTGTGTCATCAGTCTACTCCAGTTTGTGGCCGACTACAAGGAATCCTGAAATTCTTATTTCTGCTCATGTCTATAAGCTTACAATATAGGACCACTGGTTATTCAATTAATTTTTTAAAACTTCAGATATACCCTGAATAAATAAGAAACATTTCTGTATCTACACAGTACCACCACCATAAAAATGTTATATATATAAATTAAATAAACTCAGATTTCTTAACTAGTTTTTCAGCTTAAATTTGTCCTCATCTTAAATGAAATTCACTTTATATCCAAAATATATTTAAATATTCCAAAAGTATATCAAAAAATGTAAACAAAATTTATATAGCTTATATTTATGGGCCATATTTTTAAGTGTTTTTTAATTCGCCCTATCCTTACTTTCTTTAAAAAAAAAAGTCAGACTGAAAAACTGATTTGGATTTTAAAGTGGTTCCTCGGAGACAAGGGCCAATTACTAAAACCAGTATTACTGAATCTAGCCATTTATTGCATTATTCAATTTAAAATATCAAAATATTTCCATTTTGATCTTCTAATAAAGCTCTTTCTGGATAAGCCCCTAGATTCTGCTATCCTAAATGAGTTGAATTGGAGACTCCACAGTAACACTCAACACAAAACCAAGACTAGGTGTCAATAGACCTCATGACTTCCACTGCAACTGTCAAAAATTCCCAATTCTTGGTTTGTCCGTCCAGTTTTGTTGAAAAAAACTCCAAGGATGGAAACTTGAGGTAAAGTAGAGAAGCAGAAATGGAAACCTACATGGATCCTCAAAAGAAAACAAAAAAATCCATTCATCACACAGTGTCATCTTCACACTCCATAGTCAGACTGCTTCTCCTGAAGCTGCCTTGTCAGTATCTGATATGAAGACAGAAAAGCCACTCCTATGTGGAAAAGGATTTGCCAGAGGTTCCTCAGCCCGTGCAGGTACATGTTGCCCAGGCAAATAAAGAGCAGCATCAGCACCACCTTCACAGTCCTGGCTGGACTATAGAACAGGTACAAATAACACTGCAATGAGACCGCAAGAGGATGTCCAATCAGACACAACAAAGTGGTCACAAGGTCAGAGCAAGATTCACCTCCCAGAGCTGCCACAAACAGCATCATTTCCCTCACATTAGCTTATTAAATTGTCTTTATTACGATGAAGCTTAGGCCTACTGGTCAGGCTGCTGTTAATTACTGGATGACAATAGGTGTCGCAAAAAGAACTAGTATGTGGCATGTTTGAAAGTTTAAGAAATATAGACAGAAATTCCCACACTATGGACTGTAGAAAAAGAGGAGTACAGGGTTTGGGGCAGACAGCTAGGCCAGGAGACTTTAACAAGACTGACTGGCCTCTCAGTGAAATTCTCCTTCAGGAAGCCCTGACAGGAAAGCAAACCAGTGAAAGAAAGCTGTGGTTTCACTACTTTGCTTTCTCCTGAGTCATAAGTACATTGAGTTCCATTGTTCCCTTGGGTACTCTCTTTAATCACGTCTTTGAAAGCATCTCTTAGTCAGCGAATGGTCTCACAAACTGGTACTTTGTGCAGGGCTATCACATAGAAAAGAGGTCATTCTTGTTCTACAAAAAGTGGAAACAGCACTTGGGTTCAATGTTTTAAAAAAAAAGTGCAATCTTAGAATGCAGAACAATCGAACAACAACTGAGCTCAAGCTACAGTGGAGGGAGCTATCCAAGTAGGGAGGGAGGTAGGACTATAAGATCCCTGCATCCCTGAAACACAGCTCTAGGAAACTGCTACTGCCATGTTCAAAGCTTTGGGGACTACTTTTCTAAAAAATGAGTGCATTTTCAATCTTGGGTTGAAAATATCTTTTTCTATAATCAGGTAATTCTTAAAAAGAAACCATTCTAGGAAATATGCAGAAGAGAGAAGTGCCCTGAGAACAGAAATTTTAATTTAAAAATAAGCTTATGCATGTAGAGAAAGTACTAAAATCCTAGCCCATGTGGAAGACAAGGAAGGATAATTAGGGAGAGATTCTTATTAAAATTAACTCTATCTATGAGGAATTCAAAAGCTCCTCTTTATGCTACCCATTAGTACACAGGGTATTTGAAAATAACTAAATAATAATCAAAGCTCTCTAATTAATTCCGAAGGGGCAGATTTTAATCAGAAGTATTACCATAAAAACCCAAAATTTTTTGACCTACTTCTTTATTTTAAATAGCACATACACACAGATGTTACTCTTGTTATTGTTAGGCTAGTCCAAGTGCAGAAAAAGACACTTCTGCACTTGGACTAGGCTAACAATAAGCCTAAGGCAACATCCTACTTCATGCTAGTCAGGCCCAATCCAGTCCCCACTGCAATCTCATCTTTCCTTTTGGGGGAGTCAAATCCAAACTCCTGTTCCTGTTCTGCTGCTTAGTGACCCTGTGGTTTTCCCTTTTTGAACCCAAAGTTCTTCCTCTGTAAAATGAGAGGACTGGAAAGACGAACATAAGGTCTTTACACTAAGGGCTTGGTACTGTCCCTGATTTGAACCAAGACTTCAGTGAAACAAAAACGGGATCTAAAATTTGCTGATTAAAAAGGGAAGAAAGGCTCGGCGCCTGTGGCTCAAGTGGCTAAGGCGCCAGCCATGTACACCCAAGGTGACAGGTTCGAATCCAGCCGGGGCCCGCCAAACAACAATGACGGCTGCAACCAAAAAATAGCCGGGCATTGTGGCGGGCACCTGTGGTCCCAGCTACTTGGGAGGCTGAGGCAGGAGACTCGCTTGAGCCCAGGAGTTGGAGGTTGCTGTGAGCTGTGATGCCATGGCACTGTACCTAGGGAGACAGCTTGAGGCTCTGTCTCAAAAAAAAAAAAAAAAAAGGGAAGAAAAAGTATCTAATGTACTCGTCCTACTATGAAATCCAATTATAGCCCAAGAAGAGGAAAAGGGGGGGGAGGGGAGGGAGGAGGATGGGTGGAGAGAGTAATTGGTGGGACCACACCTACAGTGCATCTTACAAGGGTACATGAGAAATTTACTATGTATAGAATATAAATGTCTTAACACAATAAACTAAGAAAATGCCATGAAGGCTATGTTAACCAGTTTGATGAAAATATTTCAAATTGTATATAAAACCAGCACATTGTACCCCATAATTGCATTAATGTACACAGCTATGATTTAATGAAAAAATAAACAAATAAAATGTAATGATAGTTTCAACAGAAGGACAAAATAAGGCCATGTTTAACCCATTACCAAAATATCAATGTTTCACCCACCTGGAAAATGCAGGCTACAAAAGGAATAAGAAAAGCCAGAATGTTTCCAATTTCTTCATGAGCAACCTAAAACAAATATGAAGAACACAAGGAAAGGTTTCAGAGAGAAAAGGAAACGTGGTAAGATGAAGCATTTTACTCCTCAGTTCTGACTGGGAGAGACAAAAGTCCCTGTTTATGCAATCAGGTAAGGGTTAGCATACAACCACTGTCAACGGCTTGGACACACCATAAACACTCCTGTCCCCATGTGTCTGGGCTAAGTCATCACCTAGAATCAGCCCCCAACCACTCAAAATACAACTCAGCTGTCAATACCAAGCTTTCTTTAATTCCTCTTACACCCAGGCACTGCTACCTCCTTAGTGCTGCTACCACACTCTAATTTGTGACAGAAAGTCCCCAAGGCAAGGATCCTGTTTTAACCATCTTCTTGGCCAAGTACCTATTCTAGTATGTACAAACAGATAGCTGGTAAATACACATATCAGGTTATGAGTAATCATAAACAGTAAGAGTGGAGACCACATGGCACATTGGTCAAAGACACAATGTGTGGTAATAGGCAGTTACCACTCCTATAACACATGTCTGCTGCCATTCTCCAAAGAGGTCACTCTACATCAGTCTCCTGGGTTCAACATCAGTCAAGTTTCAGACTTTAGCCACCACATGCATGGATATGAACATTAGTAATATCTACTTGTTTATGCTAATAATGGTCCTATACCTTTTTAAAGTATTTGAAGTACTTCAAAATTAAAAAAAAACTATTTTAAGGAAAAGCACTGGAGCAACACTCGTAGCTCAGTCAATAGGGCACTAGCCACATTCATCAAGGCTGGTAGGTTTGAGCCTGGCCTAGGTCTGCTGCAACAATGACAACTGCAATCAAAAAAAAAAAAAAATAGCCAGGTGTTGTGGTGGATGTCTGTAGTCCCAGCTACTTGGGCGGCTGAGGCAAGAGAACTGCTTAAGCCCAAGAGTTTGAGGTCACTGTGAGCTGTGATGCCATAGCACTCTACTAAGGGCAACATAGTGAGACTCTGCCTTAAAAAAAAAAAAAGAAAAGAAAAAGCACTGGAAGAGAAAGTTGCTTTGAGATGAGCTGGCCAACAAAGGAAATTCCTACTGAAATAGTTCTTTGACAAAGACACAGGGTGGCACCTGCACAGGAGGATGACATCTACATTACACCAATCAGACTATGAGCCACCCTTCTCCCAGGGAAAAAGAGCCTGAACTTTAAAGTCTGAGAATCAAACTTTTGCCCTGGGGTAAATAATCCAGCCCCTGGAGTGAATCCTGGGGTCAAAAGGCACAGGACAGTCTAATGTCTTGCAGCAAACTGTCCATTTCTTACCAGCAACCCACAGGCTCTTTGGCTTCTTAGGACAACAGACACAAAAGAGCAACTTTCGTATTTGTTCAATTTACTACAAAGAATAAAATTTTAGGCCGGGTACAGTGGCTCACCACTGTAATCCTAGCACTCTGGGAGGACAAGGCAGCTGGAATGCTTGAGCTCAAGAGTCTGATACCACCCTGAGCCAGAGCAAGACCCTGTCTCTACTAAAAATAGAAAAAAACCCAAAAACTAAAACCAAAACAGCTGGATGTTGTTGTAGGTATCTGTAGTCCCACCTACTTGGGAGGCTAAGGCAAAAGGATCTTTCAAACCCTAGAGTTTGAGGTTGCTGTGAGCTCTGACACCACGGCACTTTACCCAGGATGACAGAGTGCAATTCTGTCTCAAAAAAAAACAAATGAATAAAAAATTTCAAAACCTCAGTACATAATAATAACCTTCTAAATAAAATGTATCCCCATCATTTTTTTCCATATGTCCTTTAAACTGTTTTTTTAAAAAAAGTTACCTGTAAAGAATGTTCTGCAAGGTGAACTCCACGAATAAGATTCAGAGCAGCACACATGATGTTGAGAATGAGGGAGAGGATACCCAGGGCTGTCACTGGTTCCATTCGGAAATTAGGAGCTTCACAATTAAAAAAAATAAGGGTCTAGTGAAAATAATTTCTATATGAAAGAAAAATAAACAAAGACATTAACTAGATCTCCACTAAGGATAGTTTCATTATATTAAACACAGAATTACAAAACATGTTAATTTTAAAAGCAGCAGAAGTTAGAGAGAAAAAAAGCAAAAAATGAAAGACAGAATGGATCTGGGGATCTGAGGTGAGTTTCTTCCAGAAAGGCCCTTCTCTGAGCAAGCAATGGTTTTTCAGCGCTATCTAAAGCAGATGTGCTCAATCAGGGGCAATTTCCTGCTTGCCCCCACCCCCCATGGATAGATGGCAATGTCTGGAAACATTTTTGGTAGTCACAACTAAAGACAAGACGCTACTAGCATCTAGTGGGTGGAGGCAGGAATGCTTCTAAATGTCTTAAAATGCTTAGGATAGCCCCTATAATAAAGAATCACTCATTGCAAAATATCAATAGGGCTTAGGCTGAGAAATCCTGATTTAAGACAATTTCTTATGCTACCAGAGAGGACCATGGGTTTATTTGCAAATTGACTGTCAAACTCTGAAAGCATTTTATACACCTCAAGCCTCAGCTTGTAAAACGATCAATCCACTCTTTTTTTAACAAAGACAATGTGCAATGTCATATGTGCTTCTAGAGAAATTCACAGCAAATGCAATTTTTTAAATTCTAAAATAGTTGGGAAGAGGAGGAAAACATTGATTATTTAGGCTATAAGCTGTTTCTAGAACTACTAAAACAAATGTCCATTCTCTCTTTAAAGATAACTGCTAAAATTGATTCTGGCTCACACTTAAACGGTGTCCGACCCATTTTCTCACTATTCTCTGTAAATTATCCTCTCTCGCCCTTAACATTTCACACACAAACACACACACATGCACACGCAAACGCCTAGCCACTAATCCAAGTTATGCCTATTGTTAGTGCGTTAGAGCTTCCACTGAGCAATTCAAAGTTCCTATTAGAACAGAGTATGCTACCTGTAAAGATTCTAGCCTCAGGACAAGAGGGTGGGTCAAACCACAGTAAAATGTCCTAGAAAGATGGGCAAGTTGACACTTTTCTGGATTTGTTCCTCTTGTCTAAGTGTTTAAAAAACAAAACATAGACATGTATTACAAAGTTATGCCTGTACTCATATATGCCAAGGGAGAAGCTTGTGGTTCAATTACCCAGTCTTTCTTCTACAAAATTAAGTTTTCTCTCAATATAAATTGGAACTTACTGACAAAATAGTCAAACCAGGAATTTATTGGTTAAAACATATTAAAGTGAAACACAAATTAAGCCAAAAACATGAATACTTTAAACATACTACTTTTATAATAAAATTCAAATAATGAGTTTAGTTTAACAAAAATGGTTAAAAGCAAAATAATTAGACTGTTACAGCATAGACAGCTCTATCTTTCAGAGAAAGATTCAGCTCATATGCTATTACAGAATTACTACATTGTAAATATCCCCTTTGATTAAATATTAGTTTAACTGTAAATAACTGTAAACAAGAAATGCAAAACTCCATGCTTCATTATGTGCTAAGCTTTGAGTGGCTAATAGTGTTAATGTCAGACAAAGTCATGGAATGCCAGGACGCTGTGATCACCCAAATTAACAGCTTTTTCTTCAGATGAAGACTCTAAAATACAAGGGCAGAGGGAGCTCCTCTGGTCTCAGGGACAGCCAGATAATGGGAGTAATACCTCTGGCCCCTGCCCAAACACTCTCATCCTCCCAGCCCACCAAGTAGGGGTTTCTCAGTGAAGATGTGAAATGTTTCACTAAGTGATAAGATGAAATAAGGATTGTCAAAAATATCTATCCGTAAGATACACAAATGTGTATAATTCGGTAAGTGACTTCCAATAAAAAAGAATGAACCTCCTTTTCAACATTTCAGCTTGTAAACTTCACACTGGTTATGAAAACAACCTGCCAAGTCAGTCGCTCTTCAACTCCTGAATTTCATCACAGGCCTGGCGCAATGGCTCACACCTGTAATCCTAGCACTCTCAGAAGCTGAGGCAGGTGGACTGCTTGAACTCAAGAGTTCGAGACCAGCCTGAGCAAAAAGCGAGACACTGTCTCTACTAAAAATAGAAAAACTGAGGCAAGAGGATCACTTGAGCCCAAGAGTTGGAGGTTGCTATGAGCTTTGACACCATAGCACTCTATCCAGGGTGACAGCTTGAGACTTTGTCTCAAAACAACAACAACAACAAAAAAAAAAAACCAGCCTCCCCTCAAACCAACAGATGTCATAAAATCAAGTTTTTTATAACAGCCATATAGAAACATGATTGGTCCATATTTTTTCCAACATATTTTATACCCTTCCCCACAAAAAACCCTCTAGTAAAAATATCAACTCCCACTTGAAATACATAACATCACTTTATATTCATCAACATCAGAGGATAACAAGCCACTTACCAGGCTCTAAGTGCATCGGTGTGTGACCGTTCATCATCCCATTTGCCACGTCTGTGTCTTCCAGAGTGAGAACCACTGGAGGCTGGAATTGGAGCTCCTCTTGAATTTTTTCCAAGCTGTTCTTCATCTGAGAAGAACTTACATAGTTAAAATGCCACTTTATTTTCTGGATGATGCTGTCTGGAAAGAGAAAGCAACCTGAGTTGAGCATTTTCATCAGCAGGGATGCTGTAAGACAATATGTGCAAAATTACATTCACTTTTTTGTAAGAGACAGAAGCTTGCACTGTTGCACAGGCTGGAGTGCAGTGATATGATTACAGCGCACTGCAGTCTCAAATTGTTGCCTGGGTCTCCAGAGTAGCTGGGATTATAGGCACACACCACCACGCCTAGCTGATTTACTTCATTTTTCATAAAGATGAGATCTCACATATGCTGCCCAGGCTGGCCCTGAACTCCAGATCTAAAGTGATCCTCCCGTCTTAGCCTCCCGAAGTGCTGGGATTAGGATGTGAGCCACTGCACCCTGTTCAACTTTTCTTTTTTTTTTGTTTTGAGACAGAGTCTCACTTTGTTGCCCTCAGTAGAGTGCTGTGGTGTCACAGTTCATAGCAACCTCAACTCTTGGGCTCAAGTGATTCTCTTGCCTCAGCCTCCCAAGTATCTGGGACTATAGACCCCACCACAACGCCCAGCTAATTTTTCTATTTTTAGTAGAGACAAGAGTCTTGCTCTTGCTCAGGCTGGTCTTGAACTCCTGAGCTCAAGCAATCCACCCACTTCAGCCTCCCGGAGTGCTAGGATTGCAGGCATGAGCCACCACGCCCAGCCTCCATCACCAAATTTTAACAAGCTTTTGAAGTTTCATAAATATTGGCAAAGCCAAATCATATAATTCTAATATCACTGTACTTGACTCATTCTACTCCCACTCAGTGATGAGCAAACATGATGCTCAGGAAGGGTCTCCTGTCAGATTAAGCATGCTGCTTTAGAAGGAATACATGCAGAGGTGACGGGGGAGAATAACACAGGTCCACCCAGCCCCAAACTGATTTGCAGCCAAAGGATGCTGCGGCCGTGGTCTGCTTTGAACTAGAATGCCCTCATCATAGGAAGAAGTGGGGCTAAGAGTACCAGTCTGACTAAGGCCTCACCTGGAGATCCAGGGCCAGAACTCTCAGTCTATGACACATCTACCAAGCAGGGGCCTGCATACCAGGGAGTTCCCCAGCACCTTCAGGTGACACTGAAAGAGGGTGCTGTCCCCACTCCTGATGGGCCAGACAGTAGAACACATGAGGGAATCTGAGGGCTAAGATAGAAGTAGCCAGAAAGCTTACATGGAAACACTTTCAGTGGCTGGTCCTGCCCCTGACTGTACCCAATGCTGCAAGACCCTTGTTTAAGAACATCACAGAGACAGCAGCTGTTTATGCAGAGACCATAGGATGTTTTCCAATTCCCACCTCTACTCCCATTTGCCCAAGAGCTCAAAATGAACCACACCTGACAAAAACAAAGCAGACACTATGATTATCATGTGGTATCCCAAAGCCCCTGAGCTTCTATGAAGCCTTTCTGGCAGAACCTAAAAAAGATGTATCCTCTTCCAGAGTAAACCTCCGAGTGAAGGACCAGTCTTTTCTTATTTCCAAATCACTACAGGCTGATACTTTTTTTTCCCTTTTTTTTTTTTTTTTGAGACAGAGTCTTACTCTTTCATTCTGGATAGAATGCCGCGCCATCATAGCTCATAGCAACCTCAAACTCTTGGGCTCAAGCAATTCTCTTGCCTCAGCCTCCCAAGCAGCTAGGATGATAGGCACCCACCATAATGCCTGAGTATTTTTAGAGATGAAGTCTCACTCTGGCTCAGACTGGTCTCAAACCCATGAGCTCAGGCAAACCACCCCTCTCAGTCTCCCAAGTGCTAGGATTACAGGTGTGAGCCACCACACCTGGCCCTATGATAAGAATTTGTAAACACCGTTTCTCACTTTCGATACTTACCTCATGATGAAAGAACATCCTTTAAATAGTACTGCTCTATTAGGCAGAGCAGGGGTCAGCAAACTTTCCTTAAAGTGCCAAATAGTAGATATTTCAGGCTGGTGGGCTACACGATCTCTGTTATAACAACTCAACTCTGCTGTCACAGAGCAAAAGTAGCCACAGACAACATGCAAAAGAATGAGCATGGCCGTGTTCCATTTTATTTCCAAACCAGGTAACTGGCCTATGAGCCACATTTTGCTGACCCCAGCTTCAGAGGGCTGTGGAGAATCCCCTCCACAGGTGTTACCCTTCTTCCACCCTGCCCCCAGGCTCTGGAGAGATGAAAAGCCTAAGGGTTAAACCTCAGTGCTTTCAGGCCACTTCAACTGCTGTGAAATCTCATGGTACAAGGCTGTTCTTCACTGACATATCGCAACTCCAATGATTTTCCTGATGGTCAAACCCAAACCTAAGCTGCAAGTTCTACATATACACCACTATAGGAAAGAACAATAAATATGAAAGAAGGTTACAAACCAAACTCGAGAAAAGCATATGGCCTGCAGGCTAGGCCAATGCAGGTGGTGTCATAAGAAGCTGTGAATTCCCACCACAGGGTCTCCAGGAAGCAGAAGGCCATGGCTGCTGGACACTGGTGGGAGCAGATAGCCATGCAGGCCACATCCCCTGAAGAAGAAAAACTGAAACAAAAAGATGACATCTTATTACCAGGAAACAGACCCATGGATTCCCATCACACACCCAGATACAACCTTGCCTCAATTCTGCACTTGCTTGGCTTTAACAGTCCTATAGCTGTTCGTTGCACATATATTGTCTCTTTTGCTAGACCTATTTCCTGAGACTGTGTCCTTCCTATACTTCCTTTAAAATGCCTAGTAGCATTAGTCACTGATGGATGCATGTTCTACTAGGGGGAATTAGCCTCAGGCTTCTCTCTACCTATTGAGAAAAATGTTTTTCTTCTGTAATCCACATAAGTAGATTTTTCTGATGTTACATCATCGTGGCATCTTAAAATAAGACCTTATTGGATTTCACACCTGTTGGATATGTTCACATACACACAACTGTTGCATTTAGTTTATTAATGTTTTACTTATGACTTCTGTGTCTATGCAAAATAGGACTGGTGTATAATTTTCCTTTCTTATACTATCTTTATCAGGTCGTGCTGTTAAGGTTATTCTGATCTCATTAAATAAATGCAAGACTTTTTTTTCCCTTTCTACTCTAGTTCACCTGTTAGTGGTCCCTATCAATTCTACTCACTGTGGAATATCTCCTCTCACGTTTCAGCATTTTTTTACTAAGCTCATCACTGTGGGACTTTTTTTTAAAGAATCCCTTGAGCCCAAGTTGTGGCACACTTCTTCCAGAGTGGTTCTGCATCCACACCGGCCAGCTACCCCAGCAGTGCTATTGGTCTGGAACCAATATTGTTGTTTGAACCCTGACTTAGGAATTCCTAGACCTTGGGGAATATAAACTCACAAGGTACCAAAATGGTGTCTCAATTTCTTTAGTGAAATTTTATTTTCATTCCTGTCAAGATCTAAGTAGAGATGAATGGGTGGTCTATCCTGAATTGGCAGACAGACTATCTCTCACCTATCATCATTGCATTGGGTTTATAGCCTGACAAGAGCCTTTCCATTATGCAAGGGTATCACTCTGATACTCCACCCATAAAAGCTCAAACCAAGCCTCAAGTTGACTACGACTAATGCCCTAGAAGCCTTAGTGTCAGCTCACATACTTACTACCTTTATATTCTGCTCCCCCTTCATTTCTGGCAGCTTGGTTTCTTTCTTTCAAGCTCAAATATAATTGATGGTTTCTTGGTTTCTTTCTTTCAAGCTCAGCTATAATTTTTGGTATATATCAAGCTCAACCATATATCTGAAGTAATTTTTGGTATATATTTACCCCCATTTCTGAGTGTTTCTGGCAGCAGGGTTTTTAGGTTATATTTTACCATCTTTTTGTAACGGGAACTCTCTCTATAAAAACTTTTTCAATGTATAAAAAAGGACTATTCTCCTCCTTATGAAAGGAACCCTTCAGAAGGACCTAGGCCACTCTACAATAGAAATGTTTATATATGAAAAAGAACCCATGATGCGGGCTGAATGGGTACCTAAAGAAAGATTTAATGAAGTCCTAACTCCCAATACCTGTAAATATGACCTTATTCGGAAATAGAATGCAGATATAATCAAGATAAATGTGAAATACTCTAAATACTGTATAAAATGAAAATACTGGATTAGGGTGGGCCAAGACTGGCATCCTTATGACAGGGAAATTTGGACAAAGAGGCAGAGAGGAGGTCATGTGACCATGGAGGCAGAGACTAGAGTAATTTGTCTATGAACCAACCACTACTAGAAGTAGTAGAAGTATAGGAAGGATTCTTCCCTAAAGATTGCCAAGGGAGCGTGGCCCTGCCCAGATTTCAGACTTCTGGCCTTCAGAACTATGAGAAAATAAATTTTTGTTGTTTGAAGCCAGTCTGTGGTAACTTCTAAGTCCTAGGAAACTAATACAGCTCTTTTACAATAAAAAGCTATGGTACTGCTCAACTATAAGAAAAGAAAATAATGGTACATATTTAGAAACTCAGACTCCTCTATGAAAAATAATGGTTCATATTTAATTCAAATTACAAACTAGCAGAACATTTCATATTTCTTTTTCAAAAAACTGCTGAATCTCCAAGACTTAATTCTGAAGTCTTAGACTTCTTTTTTCTGTGAAAAATAACCTTTGACAGAGAAAAGGTTTCTTATTGGAAGTACAGCACAAGTTAGTCACAGCACAGTGAGGAAGAGACCACCAGGGGGCTGGGTTCAGGCACTCAGAGAAAGCAGTTGCAAATGTGGGCAAAGGCAGCTCAGCTTTTGCTCCTGAACACTCAGAGCCTGCACCACAGGGTGACAGCTACTTGTGCCTGCCATCTGGCACCCCCTTCAGGCCACAGCCCTTCTTCTCTGTCTGACAGGATGCTAGGCCTAGACTTTTCCTTTTGTTTTTGCAACTCTGAGACTGAATTCCGACAAACGTACCTCAACTTACCAAACCAAGTCAACTAAAAATTTACTATTCAAGGAGAGTAAAAGGGGCTTGATAAATGTCTAAATACTAGAAAACAAAGATGTGAAATACATGACAAGCCATTTTGATATTTTAAAATCTGCCTTGCTCCTGATTCCACCACAGAATGATCAGCTTCTTACTTTAAGTCCCAGAATAAAAAGTCATTTTATAAACAAGAACCAGACTTGGTACCTAATTGCCTACATTCAACTCTTGGGTCTACTACCACTTACGAACAATTAACCTTTGTCAAGTTGCCTCACCTCAGTTTCCTCCTCTGTAAAACAGGTGTAAAACTATTACCTACCTCATAAGCTACGTAACACAGAGAATAGTGCCTGGCATATAGAAAACAGTTGGTAATATGAGCTATTATTACTATGGTTATTATAATAGCTTGGTTCCTACTTACACTGGAACATCTGCATCACTGTATTATAACCAGTTATATATTTCTCTTGTTGCCTCATTAGACTCTAAGTCCCTTGAAAAGACCTACCATCATTAATTTTTCAATCCCCTGCTCTTGTCACATAATAAAAATTTAAAGTGAAAATTAAAAAGTAAAAAAAGTTAAAAAATTTAAAAGCAAAAACTGAAGGCAAGAGTCACAAATGAAGC